GTGGGTTTCCATGGCCGAGCTGGGATTCGAACCCAGGTCTCTCCAGAGGAGTCCTAGGCCAAACACTCAGACCTCTAAGCCACACTGGCCCCCACTATATGCTGAGCTTATGTTTTTTATGTACAGTATAGACTCAATAAAAAGTGTTGGTAATTAGAGAGAGAGAGAGAGAGAGAGATTGAGAGAGAGAAGAGAATTCAGAGCTGTGTTCGTATGGAGTTTCATTTTTATGTATGTCCAAGTTGATTCTGGCTTATGGCCACCCTCTCATGGGGTTTTCTTGTCAAGGTTTGCTTCAGAAGGGGTTTGCCATGGCCATCTTCTGAGGAGGCTGAGAGGGTCTGACTTTCCCAGTCACCCTCAGTGGGTTTCCATGGCCGAGCTGGGATTCGAACCCAGGTCTCTCCAGAGTCCTAGACCAGCATTCAGGCCTCTAAACCACACTGGCTCCCACTATATGTTGAGAATTCAGAGCTGTGTTAATTTGGGGTTTGATTTTTGTGCGCCTCCAAGTCATTTCTGACTTATGGTGACCCTAAGGAGACCTTGTTATAGGGTGTTTTTAGCAAGGTTTATTTCAGAGGGGGTTTGCCTTGGCCATCCTCTGAGGCTGAGAGAGTGTGACTCACCCAGGGTCACCCAGTGGGTTTCCATGGCTGAGCTGGGATTCAAACCCAGGTCTCTCCAGAGTCCTAGGCCAATACTTAGACCTCTAAGTCACACTGACCCCCACTATATGTTGAGCTTATGTTTTTCATGTACAGTATAGGCTCAATAAAAAAGTATTGGTAAATAGAAATTGAGAGAGAGAGAGAAGAGAATTCAGAGCTGTGTTCATATGGAATTTAATTTTTGTGTATCTCCAAGTTGTTTCTGGCTTATGGCCACTGTTTCACGAGGTGGTTTTTTTCGTTTTTGTTGCAAGTTTCTTCAGAGGAGGGATTGTTATTTCCTCTCCTGAGGCTGAGAGAGTGTGGAGTGTGACTTGCTCAAGGTCAACCAATAGGTTTCATGGGATTCAAACACAGGTCTCTCCAGAGTCCTAATCTAACACTCAGATCTCTAAAGCACTCTGTCTCCTACTATATGTTGAGTTTATGTTTTTCATGTATAAACTCATTAAAAGATATTGGGTATATTTGAGAATTCAGAGCTGTGTACATATGGAATTCAATGTTTGTGTACCTCCAAGTCATTTTTGGCTTACCACAACCTTATCACAGGGTTTTCTTGACAGGTTTCCTCAGAAGGGGTTTGCCATTGACATCTTCTGAGGCTGAGAGAGTGTGACTTGCCCAAGGTCACCCAGTGGCTTTCATGGTTGAGCTGGGATTCAAACCCTGGTCTCCAGCATCATAGACCAATACTCAAACTACTGCACCATGCTGGTTGAGAGCTATAGGGTTGCCATAATAACTGCAAAGGAGGATAAGGCCCTGTAAAATGCAGCACGTTCAAGAAAAATGGAGGGCATGACCAAATAAAAGCTAAAAACACTCATATGAATGTCAATCCACGATTCTTAATCATGCTCAAAGTGGAGGACGTTTTGGAATTTCTCCTGGAGAGAAGGCAGAAATGGAGGGCATGTCCTGGAAAAGGAGGTCCTTTGGTCACTCTGCCATAATCTCCTTTCACAAAACCAAGATAAAAGTGTATGGGATTTATTGACAACAACCTCCCCAAAAGAACCACAGACAACACATTTTGACCTTTCACATTTTTTTATTGCATATTTCAGTTGTTGTTATATATTATTGTTTATTGCCATCAGTTCACATGCTGGGATTTGTAGTCCCTCCCCCATGACTGTGAAGGTTGGAGGAGGGACACTTGTGGGCCTGCTGGCTTCTTGGCACACCCTGACTGCACCTGCACTGCAGAAATAATTCATTTTAACACCGCTTTAACTGCCATGGCTCCATGCTGTGGATTCCTGGGTTATGTAGTTTGTTGTGGCGCCTGAGTGTTCTGGCAGAGAAGACTAAATGTCTCACAAAACTACCAATCCCAGAATCCCATAACATTGAGCCATGGCAGTCAAAGTGATGTTGAACTGCATTTTTTCTGCAGTGCAAATAAAACCTATGTTTCTGAATTCTAGCAGCTTGGAAGTGAACTTAGCAAAGGTGTCTCATTCACAGGGTCACCATGAGTCAAGGCCCACTGGAGGGCTCCCCCCCCTTTATTTTTCCCCACACAGTTCTATGGGGAGGGAATGGAGGGAATCTCCCAAGTAGCCACCAGAGCAATAGGGACTCCCCCTTACTCTGGCAGCCATGTGGAAGTACAACCACTTAAAGCAGCATCACCACACACTTACCAGGGCACAACGCAAGCTCTTCTTTGCTCACATCCTTTCCTTTCCCTTCCCTCTGTCTGGGCTCTTGGACTGGTGTGCTCGTACCATACCACCCAGAACTTCAAGGGCGGGATGATGAGTCGTCTTGTGAGGTTTCACTCATGCCTCCAGGAATCTGGGATCTGCTGCTTCAACTGGCCTGGCCAAGTGAGACATTTTTCAGACCCTTCATAGAAACAGAATTGTAAAGTTGGAAGGAAGAGACCTCAAGGGCCATTCAGTCCAACCCCATTCTGCTGTGCAGGCACTTGCAATCAAAGCACCCCTGACAGATGGCCATCAGCCTCTGTTTAATAACCTCCAAAGAAAGAGACTCCACCACCATCTGAGGGAGTATGATCCACTGTTGAACAGCCCTTACAGTCAGGAAGTTCCTCCTAATGTTGAGGTGAAATCTCTTTTCCCGTAGTTTGCATCCATTGCTCCGGGTCCTATTCTCTGGAGTGGCAGAAAATAAGCTTGCTCCATCCTCAATATGACACCTCTTCAAATACTTAGGCAGGGCTATCATATCCAGGGTTTTCACAGTTTTCTGGGACATATGGCAAGCCTACTTAGAGGGCTTCAGTCCTGAGCTGTGGGCCTCTTTACTCCTCCTCCTTTCCCTCCCTCCCAAATCTTTTGCCCCACAGGAGGAATTAAGCGTCACGCAAAGTGAGGAAACATATCAGCGTAGCTGTGTTGGCTGAATGTCCTTCCACTACCACCTGAACTGAGAAACAAATCTTGACAATATGCAGGCTTGGGACTAACATCGTCATAATGTTTATTCCCCTTCCTATATGATTCTTAACACCTTTGCCTAATGAAGAAGCCAGTGGAGCTTCGAAAGCTTGCAACATGTGTGTTGTGCATTTTGGCCCTGTAAAGGTATCACTCTTTTGTGGATTTTGGATGTGATTGTACCAAACTGAGGAGTTCATTTTAATCACACATGCACCCATGTTCCTTCTACCGTGCCCCCACAGGACATCCTGACTTCTTGGCCCACTGGCTTCTTGACACACTTTGGCTGCATCTGCACAGCAGAAATAATCCAGTTTGACACCACTTTAATTGTCTGTTTGGGCACCAGAGCACTGATAGAGAAAGCTAAATGTCTCACAAAACTACAAATCCCAGAATTCGATCGGATGGGGCCATGACAGTTAAAGCATAATCAAACTGGATTATTTCTGCAGGTCAGATGACACATGATGCTGCACTGGCCACTCACAGTAACACATTTACCCTCAGCGTTCTCACCTGGCAAACTTCACCAGGGCTTCAAATAACCAGTCCTGTTAGTTTGGAACATCAGTGTGCATAGGGATCTTATAGCACCTCTGAGGCTGAGCAAAAGAAGTTGTAGCATAGGTTTTCACAGACTTGGGGGCTGAAAAGATGGCTAAAAGGGCCATCATTGGGGTGGCGTGGGGGCTGCCTGCCGCCTATCCTGACTCTGCCCCCAAGCAGGTTGCCGTAGCCCTGATCCAGTGTTGAAAGCGGAGGCACAGATCCACTCCTTCGGGGCAGTCTGTTTTGCCCCTTGGTCTACTTTTTTCAAATGCAACTGACAGTGTTGCCCTTGGATTGGCTGTACAGTATAGGTGTTTGCCTACAGGAAATAGTTCAGAATGGACAAAGCAAAACAGTTTGTTTCACTGTCTTGAGTTCTATATGGTCAGCTTAGTATTCATAGAACAGCACAGAATGGAGGGGCTGAAGCCAAGTCCACGCATGCCAAAAGTCATAAGCACCAATTGGGATCCTAACATATCTGTTCCATATGCTTTAAAGGGGAAGGGCTGATTTTCTTGGCTCCTTATCTCCGCAGTCAGTATCTCAGGGTACTTTGGCTCTGTGCTGGAGGTGTGCTAACCTGCAGTGGCTGCTCCAGGTTTTGAAGGGCCCTTGCATAAGACATCTTCAGTTGGTTCCCTTTCCTCGGTGGGTCTCAGCGGCATTGTCAACAACTGCTGTTCTTTTTGTTCTTCTCCATTGCTGTTCCTTGTTTGCCTGACAGATGAAGAGCCAACAACAAGCAACAGGGCAGTGGCATTTATAAATGATGAAAATAAAATTATGTTTGTTTCCTCCTCTTCTGCGAGCATGTTGTACTGGTGAGGAGCAGGTTCAGGGGTCTTGTGAGTGTGCTCCATGCTACATTATGGACCCCAGTCAGAGGCCTAATGTACTGATCCTTGACACAAACCTTACTGATCTGGCACTGGAGTTGTGTAAAGCTGACTCCTGATATCCTGTGTTTGTGTCCATACTCTAGAAATCAATCACAGACATTTCTGAAGTTGAGGGTGGGGTGATTTTTTAAAAAGCTGATTTTTTAAAAAATTTGGCTGTTGTGCAGGTGTCCAACTAGGGAGAAAAAAGTTTTGTGAGAAATCATGCAACTTAATAATACTAATTTATCTAGATGACTGCATCATTTGCTGCTTGGAATATAAAACTACTATTTTGCATTCTTGTGAAATGTATACAGCAATTAGTTTCAAATGCATCTCTCTCTCTCTCTCTCTCTCTCTCTCTCATCAGCTGCATTTCCCTTGGATAAATAATCCGTCCAGCACCACTTTAACTGTCATGGCTCCATCCTACAGAATCCTGGGAACTCTAGTTTGTTGTGGCACCAGAGCTCTCTAACAGATAAGGCTAAATGTCCCAGAATTTTGGGTAGGAAAAGAAGAGGAAAAAGGAAAGGAATAAAGAAGGGAAATGTAGGTGGGAGAAGGTATTGAGCAAGTGGGAAGGTAAGAGGAAGTAGGAAAGAAATGAGGAAAAAGGAAGGGAGGAGTTATGAGGACAGATGGGAAGTGAAAGAGTGGGATTTGGAGATGGTATAGAAAGAAAAGGTAAAGAATATGAGGGAGGGAGGAGAAAGGAATTAGTAGGAGGGAGTAAAAGAAAGAAAATGAAAGGAAATAATAAAAAAGGTGGAATGAGGTTGGGGAAGATTGAGAAGATAAAAGAAAAGAATCTCAAACAATTAGGACAGAAGAAGAAAAAATGAAAGGAAATTAAAGGAATTAAGAAATGGATAAACAATCTTTATTTATTTATTTATATCCCGCCTTCTTTCCAAAAAAGGA